ATGTACCTTGATATCAGCACCACCTGCAAGGTTCTGAAGTTCCTCTACTGATGCAATGGATGTGTCTTTAACTGAATCAAGTGCATCTCCTAGAGTAGTCTCTTGGTCATTTTCTTCATTCACAGTATTTTCTTCATTTACCGTACTGGAAATTTCTGCAGAGATGGATTCATTTGTCCCAGAGGAAGTAGACAAACCATCCTGAATGTTCATCAAGTTCTCTGTCACTCACTTTCCAACAAAGGTAGAAGCAATTTGTTCTATCTCTCTCCTTGTCGATTAATAGAAAAAAGTATTTGCACCAAGGTTTAAATTACATACCTGGTCGGTTTCCATTCTCCTAAATACAATGCTGATCATCTGTGTCAACATTGCCTTTGAAGTAGCTTGATTTATGGGACTTTTGCTATGGATTTAAGGAAATAGTTCAATTTATACTATTTTAAGTTGACAAGAAGAGATCAAACAATGGCAACATGCAAACTACCTATTGAGAGCAATGTTGCAGCAAACCCTAATGACTCCTAACAAAGGCTCCCCGTGTACTGCATTTCAAGAAGAGAAGAAGTTGAAATTAGAAAACTGAAGACTTCGTAACAAAAGAATTGACAGATAAAGAAGAAAAGCTCACAATAAACAAATATGGAGAACTACTCAAGAAAGTCTACGATAAGCTCATTAAGTATTTGAAGACTGGTCTACCCTTCCAATCCATCACTCCAGAAGGATGATGGAACAAGCAATAACAAATAAAATCATGGCCTTGTCTTTGAAGAAATTATTGATGAATCCACTACACCTAAAACCATTATTAAAGCAAACGCCCTTCTTTGGGTAATAAGACTTCTGCAAACCCTACAAATCATCAACGGCCTCGTGCAATGGTCAAATTATAAGAAAGTCCCTGATGAAGCACCCCCCCACCTAGCATCTCTTGAATAATCCATCCTAGCACTTGCCACTTCAAAAAACAAGGTTGCTCAATATTCCATTTCCCTCCTTCTGAGATATTTCTTGAAGTGAGTGCATCAGCCAATTTTCTCTTATTCCAATCTTCTAGACTGCTAGATTGCTTCAGAGATGCCTTGTCCAGAGAGTACAGCAATGAAGAAAAGAGAGGCTCCATTTCCCACTCACTCGTTCTCCCAATACCTCATCTCATCATTACCCGACATGAATCTAGATCAAGTCTCAATAAGGGCATTGCATTTAGCTATGGCCATCCAGAGGCTCTCTAGACTACTGTAATGGACCTATAGCAAACCAGCTAAGGGAATGTTTTCTTGCACTTGCTTGCAGAGGCAATAAAAAACTCAGTGATGAGCTACCGTGTGGATGTCTCTTTAGAGTCAAAAAGTTTAGATCCCCCTTCATCATGTTCCAAAACAAATATTTCCAATTGGTTAACTGAAAGGACTTTCGACAAGAATACAATACACATGCTCAACTCTAGTTAATTAAACGGTTCAATAAGAAATTGCCTAGAACATCTGACATTCCGACCCACAGGTCAATACCAAAGTCCAAGGACATAATCCGTGATCTCCTAGCTTTAGAAAAAATTCCAAAATCATAATGATTCTTGTTGTTGCTACTATGGAAAATGGTGTTATATAACATATCAGACACTACCCTTAAATAATGCATTAATACTTTTATAATAAGAAACGGAGAAATAAATGTCTGAGAAAAGGCACAAAAGAACAGAACCTAAGGAGCAGGCGGAGGAAACTCCAATTGAAGAACTATAGAGGAAGAGTCTTTCCATCCAAATAATCTAACAGTTGTTATTACGAAAGAATTTCCTGTAGTTAAAAGATCACCAAGAGAGGTATATTGCACACCATTACAAAGTAATAAAAAATAAGACAACTTATCTTCAAAATCCTATAATCGTTAAAAATATTACATTAACATGTTCTGCTGATTTTCTAGGAATGATGCTATAGTGCATTTACAAGAGTCCAAACAGCCAACTTTATAATAACTTCAATGCACCCTCAGCTTTTGAGCATTATCTCTATTCATCTGAGCATTAATCAAGGAGTCTTCTGAAATAAAATTCACGATTCAATGGACGTTTTTAAATTGGAAGAGAACCTCATAATTAAAACATTACTTAAAACTCAAGATAGTGCAAAAGAATCCAGATCAAGATGCACAAAATCCCATTCATCCACGATCCACTTTTCAAAAGTCAAGACTTGATTAAGCAACAATCATAACCACCTATCTACAACCACGTACCTCTGAACCTTGTAGATGCAACCGCTGTAAGAAGAACCTTCAACACTTGCAAAATGGTACTGCATACCATCCCATGCAAATACTTGGCCATAAATTAGCAGAACAAAAATGTGAAAAATGTTCATAATATGCAATGGGACATACCTATCAGGTGATGAGTTGTCAATACAACCGCAAATCATGTTCAGAATGTCAGTGAAGAGAGGGGCATTTTTACCATCTTCTAAACCAGGATCACCTTCTAAGTGATCGTAAGCAATGAGTTTCTGTCAATTATACAATGAGAGATCTTAAGATAACATAAACAAAATCTCATAAAAGATCGTTAGAAAATGATGCTGTTTAAAAAGGCAATCATCAATCGAAGGGTAAGGTTTCATAGACAAATAAAAAGACGTACATGGAGACAATCCAAAGCAAGTTCCAGGACTTTTAAATTCTTTGTGTCAAATGCGAGGCGAAGTGGACTCAAAACAAGCTCTGCATCATCTCCATGTAAGACATTGCCAGCATTTCCTAACACAATTAATACATGTTCACGTGGAGCAACTTTCCCGCCATCATTCTCAACCTCCTGTGCAGTTTGTGCTGTCTGAGACTCGTCTGCTTTCCCTCCAGTTTCACTATAACCAACAGTGAATGAAAAGTTACCTGTCTGTCAAAGACTTTTTTTTTTTTTTTTTTTTTCCTTCTTTTCACAAATGAACGACTAGACTTTAAAGTCTCATGCAAGCCAATTAATATATAATGAAACAATTGAAAAGATTAAGGACCTAATATCCACTTTTTCCGATCATTTTTGTGATGTAAAAACACAAGGAATGTTGAAATAAATACTAGCTACATTGTGAAGAACAAAGGAGATTCACGGAGTAAAACCTGGAATCTCCAGCTGAAGGAGCTGGTTGATTTGTCTCGACTGGTGTAGCATGTTGACTTTGATTGATCTCTTTCGTGCTATCTGAAAAGCGGTCGCCGGAATCATCAGCAACACGGCAAGGAGAATTTTCATGCAAATCATACACATGCACGTAACACCGAATAAAATTCTTAAACTCGCCTAATTCCGAATGCGAGAAAAGATGCCAAACTTCTCTTAAATAACTAATCAATGCATTTGACCAATGCAAGAGTAAAACCAGTGGAAACAGTACGAACAACAGTCCCAAACAAATTTCCGAGCAGAAGAGAAAACAGTTATTCAGAAGATTTCCAAAGATTCAGAGGAAGAAACAGACAGATCCATAATGCAACCATGCAGAATTCAAGAAACGAATGATAACGAGACCTATAAATGCCTGAATAGCTTTCTGAAGGGCCGGGTACTTCTTGCCGCCAGAACATTCTTTAAGCATGGACTCGAAAGCCCGCGTGACAAAACCACCAGCAGCCATATCTATCACCAATTGCTTTCTCTTCCAATGGCAATGATCTCATTCAGGTCCGATTCAGACCGCGCCAATAAAATCCATCAGGTCGATTTCCACTTCTGCAAGTTCAAACAGATCCAATACATTATAATTTCCCCGAATGAATGAAATAAAATTGACAATTAGAACATCGTCGAGCTAACAAATGCTAGCAAATCATTGAAGAAATAGAACGAGGCAAGTGAAGGAGAGGCGTTGATAGATCTATCCACCAAGTTTCAGGATCTCGGACCTGACTCCTGCAAACGAGCAAACAGAGCTTTTGCTTCAGCGCCAATTTCTTCTTTGTTTTTTCTTTTTTCTTTTTTCCTTGTTTTTCTCCCCCGCGGTTGACGAGTCAGCGGAACCGACCCACCTTACAGATTTACGTTTTTTTTTTTCCTTTTACTTTTATTATAAATCGGTTAAAGATTTTAATTTTCATTTAAAATTCTAAATAATTTATACTCAATTATAATTTTGAGAAAATAATATCTTAAAAGTACTTTTACTAGCATTAATATTTTTCAAATAAATTGGAATGGTTATAGATATTTTTTATAGTTTTGTTTAAATTTTTCCTATATTTACCTTAATATCTTAAATCTAATTAAAATTAGCTTTATGGTTTTTTTTATTAGAGACGATTATAACTTTTATTATTACAATAATTTATCGATCAAATTTCATTTTTGACTTTGAATTAAGTGTATTTATATAATTAAGCTATAAAACTACCTAAAAGCATGCCTAAAAAACATACTCAAGTCCTATTTCATAATTATTTATTATTTTATATTTATAAAAATTAAGCTCAATATTTTATTATTTTCTATTGTTTTTTGTGCGGTTAATTATTTAAAATTACGACTCTCTGATATGATATTGTCCGCATAAGCTCTCATGATTTTGCCTCTCATAATAAAGATAATTTCTCTCATTTATAAATTCATGATCTTCCACTCAATTAACCAGACTCTCTTCCATCCTCGTCCTAAATTACTTTCTAATTTTGACTTTTGACTTAATTTAGCTTTAATTAGTTTATTATGGGGTCATTATATACGAGAACAAATGTTTAGCCATCGACGGCCATTCGCAGACAGCGGTTGGATTTTACGCAATTAGGGAAACCCGCCAAAATAAGAACCGTGGGCTCCACACCCTCGTTATATTTTATATCAATTGCGCACAAATTATTATTGTTTCCAATAAACGGTTTAAAAAATAAAATAAAATAAAAAATAAGAATTTTAATTTCAAGTTAAATTTTAGGGCAAAAATATCATTTAAGTATCCCGGGAACCCCTGGACGGAACGAAAAGGGTGAAGAGCCAAGAAACAAATTCCAAACAAGGCTTCAAATAGTGAATTCAATGTAAAAGTGTTGTAATTTGTTCACAATCACATGTATGTAAATAAGAACGGAATATACAACAAATGGAATGAATGAAAGAGAGTATGAACTTATCATTTAAGCATCGGCTTCTGAGAGTTCTGAAACACGAAAGCAGCAAGGGTGACGAGGAAAGCATAAGCTGAAGAGGGCAGTTTTTGGACCAGGCTTCCAACGACTGGGATGCCTTCAGTACTTCTCTTTGTGACCACTGCGACTGTTGGTGCTATCACCAAAGTGAGGATCAATCTGTGGCTCAGTGATATGAACGCGTCAGATGTCAAGCTCAGTATAAAACCCAAGAATTCGTCACGCCCAATTTTTTTATCCTCGTTCCAGTCGTTCTCCTGATAATACAACGAGAACCATAAACATGCAAAGCCCAGAGTATGGCAACAGGAAGAACGGGCCGCTACAGTTCAATAAAGCCACAAGAATAAACACTATTTTAAATCTAATCTATATCTTTGAACCTTATTGGATAGCTAAGAAGGTGATTACTTTAACACAACTAAATAAATCAAATGGCAACCGAGAAGCACTTTTGTAACAGTCGAAGCCCACCTTTAGCATATATTGTCCTCTAGCATATATTGTCTACTAGAAAGGGGTTTTCATACCCTTATAAAGAATGTTTAGTTCTCCTCTCCAACCGATGTGGGATCTCACAATCCACCCCTTTCGGGGCCCAGTGTCTTCGCCGACACTGAGTCTTCTCTCCAATCGATGTAAGATCTCACATCTTTCTTACGTTACATTGTTAAACCTTTGTAATACTATTGTATCAACAAAGTACCTTCATGAGCTGTCTGAAACGTTCCTCTGTGGGCGGATCAAGATGAGAGATAGGCAACCGCTTGTTAATATCACTGCATCACAAGTATTTGTTAAGTATTAAACCAAGCCCACAGATGCCTTGTCGCCAAGAGCTTGAGACGCTAAACAGATATCTCCAAGGATCAAAGTTGAAGCCCAGATTGAAAATTTACGAGTATTTTTCTGTAACGTTAATGTTTCTCATTTCTTGTTTTCTATTTCCAGTTTTTGGATACGTTTGGTGACTGTTACTCAATCTCATTTCTAATTTCTTTTGAATTGAGTTTTTTTTTCAAGGCATAAATAAGAAAATTATTTGAACATTTTTACTCAAAATATGGAACATGTCAACACCACCACTAACGAATATTGTCCATTTTGACCCATTACATATCGCCGTAAGTCTCATGGTTTTAACATGCCTTTACTAGCGAAAGTTTTCTACACCCTTATAAAGAATGTTTTGTTCCCCTATTCAACCAATGTGGGATCTCACAATCTACTCCCTTGGGAGCCAGCGTCCTCGCTGGCACACCGCTCGGTGTCTGGCACACAGCCTAAGTCCACCGCTAATAGATAATATCCGCTTTGGCCCATTACGTATCACCGTCAGCCTCACAGTTTTAAAACGTGTCTACTAGGGAGAGGTTTCCTCACCCTCATAAGAAATTTTGTTCCCTCTTCAACTTATAAATGAATCTTTAATTAAAACAAATAATGTTTTATGTAATAACTTTATTTTTCAAATTTTAAAATCTGGGAGAAGAAGAACAAGAAATGGGTACCAACAAGCACTTGCCTATTTCATTTTTAAGAACAACAAATAAGAAACCAACAGCGCTTCTAATTTTTAGTTAAAAAATAGTAAATTGACAAACAAGAAATGGAAAAGTTTCAACTCTAATCGTCTCCTGAGTTAGCCATTGGTTTGTAAAAACTCTCACAAAACCCACGAATCAGTGGGTAGGCCATGAGCATAATATAAATAATGATGTCCCACCAGGTTATCTTATAAATGAATGAATGAATGAATGAGCAACAAAAAGTGAAGCAAGAAAAAATAAGAGCTTCTTACTTGTATACAAGTAACGTAGCAATGTACAGATCTTCAAACGACAGCTTATCCTTCTTATCTCCAATCATATCAAATATTCTATCTGATATATTCCTCAATTGCTCGTCCCTCCATTCTTTGCCTGCAATTGCAAGCATAATAAGATTAAAAATGTGTCAATTGCTTCTCCCCCGATTTCCAATAAGATCTTTTGCTCTTATTAAACATCCTTTATGTCTCCCTCAATAGCAAGCAGACATGGTACCAAGTCCACAGAAACAGCACGCATCAGCTAATTTAACACACGAAGAACAAGAACCAAAACCGATAAATTCATCTATAAATTAGTCCGTGACAATATCAGGTTATGAAGGAAATTGTAAGGTAACCAAATTTCACCAATAAGATCAATATCCTTTCAAAGAGAAATCTCTATGACTACGAACTCTCCATTTCGCTTGATCTGTTAATCGATTTATCGACGGATCCAAAAAGAAAACTGAAAACGAATTCAAATCGATGTTTACGAAAAAACGAAGTTAGGTTAATTTACCTCCAAATCTCCCCAAGGCCTTTCTCATTCTAGATGGCGCCGACGGCGATTGAAGATCCCAGACCTCGCAAAGCAGCCCCCGACTGTAATTGAAATCGGCGCTCCAGGCAAAGGAAGATGGAGATGTCCGCCGTAGCAGCAACGATAGCGAAATTTATCATTTCCAGAGGATTGTATTAGACAATGATCAAATTCAGAAACTGTTCCGATTCTCCCAAACGTTTCCTTCCTCTATTCGCACGGAAACTTGGAACAAAGCGACCTTCGCTTCCCTCGGCTGCAAGTTATCATTTGATTTCGCGCCCAACACACACATAAAATAAAATTAGTTAGATTACAAATTTAATTAATGAATTTACACGTCACACTTCCAAATAGTCCAACCCAAAATGAAGGGCCCAAATTATAAAGCCCATTATCGAGATTCACAGCCCATAGCATCAAAGATCAAACGGCACGTGCCGAAAACAGTCAACGGTCAACGAATATGGGCAGCGTTCTATCTGACGTGTCGCCAGGCAATAAAGACCAAAACGCATTTGTCAATGCCACGTCAGACTTACACCAAATACAAAACAAATGATTCTACCACAAAATGACTTTATTTACTCTTTTCTCACATACCCTTCAACTTCTATCAATTGCATTCTCACCCCAACATCACCTAAAAATGTATTAAATGAAAATTAAATTCAAAATTCAATGAAAAAAAAAAAGAGAAATAAGGAATCTTAAGGATTAAATAAAAATTCAGTGCAATATTTGAAAATTTAAGGACTAAATATTGTCTTTTTTTAATAATATAAAATTTAATGTCATTTTTTAAATAATAAATAAAAAGGATCGTTTTTTAAAAAATAATTTATATAGTAAAATACGTTTTTTTACACAAAATAATTTGTTTACGTTAATACTACTTCAAAGAGAACTTATATTTAAGTAAATTTTTTTGAGTCTATTTATTTTATTATTATTATTATTATTATTTTTTGTAAGTTTCAAAATATTATATTTACTCTTAAATTTTGAGTTTAATTTTTCATTTAGTTTGGGAAAAATGTTGTATTTTTATTCTTAAATTTTAATTTTATTATGTATTAAATACAAATTAAACTAAAAAAATTCAATGATAAAAGTGTAAAATGTTGAAACTAAACGAAAATTCAAATAGAAATTTATTGGTAATATTTTAAAATTAAAAGACTAAATGTGGTATTTTTTTAATAATATAATATTAAGGGTTTGTGGTACATCTCTAATGATATAAATTTCTGGCAAACAGCGATAATTGGGAACGAGAAGAAAGAAAGGATGGGAGAAGAATTGAAGCTGTTGGTCAGAACGTCGAGTCCGTACACACTGAGAATAGTATGGGCGCTGAAGTTGAAAGGGTTGGAATACGACATCGTTTACGAAGATCACAGTCTGGCCAACGAGAGTTCGCTGCTTTTGGAGGAGATCAGTCCGATCCACAAGAACCTTCCTGTATTGCTCATCCATGGCGGAAAACCGACCGCCGAACCGCTCGTCATCCTCGAATACATCGACGGGGTTTGGAAGCAAAATCCATTACTGTCTCAGGATCCTTACCAAAGAGCCGTTGCCCGCTTCTGGGTCAAATTTGCTGAGGATAAGGTATCAAATTATAATACATATTTTTGGCTCCTAATATAAACTAAGACATCAATCATGCCATATAATTTAAAAAAAAAAAAATTAAAAATGTTGTTTAAAATATCATAAAATGTTAAAAAAGAATCCAGTTTTATTATTCTTAAATAGTTACAAAATTTGGGTAGATGATAATTGTATTTTAAAATTCTTATTTATTTTAAGGTTACAGTTATATAGAGATTATATATGGTCATAAATACTAAAATACTTTATGGAAGGCGTAAGTGTCTTCATTTTAGATTATATAAAGTTATATATGTTATCTTCGTAAAATGAAACTTGGAAAATGCAGTAAAATGAACGTTTGTGCTTTCTTTTAGTCAAACTTAACATGATTAATGTTGCTCGTAGAGTGATTCGAATCTCAGATAAGTGTTTTTATGTGTTATTACTTTTTTTTAAAATTCTATGTAGTTTAGATTGCATGTTTATGATTATGTAGTGATTTTAATCTCAAACCAATGTTCTTGCCTCAGATATTCGATCAACAAGTAAATCTAAATCTCCTCTTCAAAAGATTCTTAAGAGCTTTTCCTTTCAGTTAACTCCTATATTTTGCTCTCAACGTTTTGTCTGCACTTTTAGGTTTTGCCATCCATTATAAACGTGTTCGTGAGGGGCAACAGGAGAGAGGAAGCCATTGGAGAATTGGAAGCCTCTCGAAGAAGAGCTAAAGGGAAAGAGATTCTTTGGAAGGGAAAGTGTTGGGATTGTGGACATCGTGGTTGGGTAGATTGCATTCTCGTTCACTGTAGTAGAGGATGTTGGATGATGAAAGTCTCACATCTGCTAATTTATGAAATGATCATAGGTTTATAAGGGAGGAATACTAACTTCATTAATATGAGGCCTTTTGAAAAGCCCAAAGTAAAGCCATGAGAGCTTATGCTCAAAGTGGGCAATATCATACCATTGTGGAAAGTCGTGTTCGTCTAACAGAGGAGATGGGTGGACCTTGCCTGGTCACGCAAGAAAGGTTTTCCCTCTTATCCAAATGGATAGCCGAAGTGAAATGTGGCACCATCTGATTATGCCACGTAGTTGGATGGCAAAAGATAGTGAAACTTAGCTGCCCTATAATAAGAGGACACACGAAAACATAAACTAAAAGAAATATTTATATTTGGGTGTGCGTTAAAGATATCCATTTTATGTATGGGATCAGTCTCGAACATAGAGGGAATTTTTCATTTAGATGGCCGGAGATAAAATTATATTTCACAATATGAATATTTTTTACCCATATTTTTTTTTATTATATTAAAAAAAAATACATTAGTTAATATTGAACTAAGACAATTTTTTAAATTTTTAGTAATTATGTTGATAGAAGAAAATTTTAAAATAATTATATTTTTTAAAAGAAGAATGATAAAGACCGAAGGGCAAAAGAACAGTCAATACCACGTCACGCCTTACATCAGCAGAATGTGACACGTGGAGGATTTTGACCGCAGTAGCCATCAAAGACGAATAAATTAACAAAATGTCGTTTTTATTTTCTCTTTTCTCACATACCCTTTGATTTCTATCAAATTGCATTATTGCCCACCCTCACTACAAACAATAATTCTAATTATTATTGAAGTATAATACGCATCAATTATGAATTATATAATAATCATGATTAAAAAGTTTAAAATGAATTCTATTATTGATTCTCAATTATTAGAGTTTATAAATATATTTGAATTTATTTGATCATGAGATCATTCAACAAAATTTTTTAAATATTATAAAATCAATTTTTTTTTTTGTAGAATACATATTTTAAATATAAAATAATTTAATACGAAAATAATTTTCCTCGATAACTAGAGAGAATTTATTCCAAAACCTTGTTTTTTTTAATAAATATATCGATATTTTTTGAATTACAATAACATCTTTGACCTCGCTCCTACCCTGTTAATGAAAATTAAGGCATAGAAGGGTGAGATGACGTCCCTAAAAATTACTTAATCTCAATGGTAGTTTAAAATCGAGACCTCAAAAGGGTATTTTTGCAAAACACACAAACTATTTTCAATAGTGTTTAAAATGGAGATCTCAAAGGGCATCTTTGCAAAAGACACAAAAGCACAGGGACCAAGGAGCAATTTCCTAAAACTTGAAGAGCGTGCGGTCCATAAAAGGGCCAACCCGGAGAACTGAAAGCGCGATTACAGAGCAGAGGAAGTGAGCTAAGAAGGGAGATGGGAGAAGAACTGAAGCTATTCAGAACGTGGTCGACTCCATTCGCTCTGAGAATAGTATGGGCGTTGAAGTTGAAAGGATTAGAATACGACACCGTTTACGAAGATCTGGCCAACAAGAGTCCCCAGCTTCTGGAGTACAACCCGGTCCACAAGAAGGTCCCGGTTCTGGTCCATGGCGGAAAACCGATCGCTGAATCGCTCGTCATTCTGGAATACATCGATGAAATGTGGAAGCAAAATCCATTGCTGCCTCAGGATCCTTACCAGAGAGCCGCTGCTCGCTTTTGGGCCAAATTTGGGGACGACAAGGTAACTCTCAGTTCATCATTTATATTACCTAATTTTACTCTACCAAAGCTTATAAAAACTAGTTTTAATGGACCTAAAATAGCTTTGGTTGTAATGGAAGCAAGATCGACAGCATTCACATACCCACAAACATAAATTAAATAAAAAGATCCAATGCAGAGGTTTAAGTGGTTTGAAGAGAAGAAATTTCTCTATATAGGTAGCAACCAATCACAATAATTGAAGTGTATATCCCACATCTGTTGGGGAGGGAAACGAAACACGGACGTGGAAACATTTTCCCTAGTAGAAGTGTTTTAAAACCTTAAAGAAAAGCCCAAAAAAGATTACATGACTAGCGATGAGCTTGAATTGTTACATTCACACTACAACAAAATTCCTCCAAAATGTCATATAACAAATGACACTTAAATTCAATGTATCTTAATCTTCTTAGACAATCTTTTATTTAGAGTAGTTATGAACAAAATAAATGTGAATGAATGAACCAAAAGGGTAAGGATTATGAACCAAATAAATGAGAGTTATGAGCCACTTGAGTCAACCCGACCTCTCTTACTCTCATTTTTAATGGTAGGTTTTGGAATCTATAAGGAAAGTGCTGATGAACCAAGGGAAAGTGAGAGAGGAAGGTGTAGAAGAAGCCTTGGAGAATATGAAGCATTTGGAAGGAGAGTTGGAGGGAAAGAGGTTCTTTGGAGGGGAAGCCATTGGGTTCGTGGATATTGCAGTTGGGTGGCTTGCAAACATAGTGAGTGTAATGGAGGAAGTGATTGGAGTTGAGCTCATAACCGAGCAAAGGTTTCCCCTGTTGTGGAAATGGATACACGAATTTGCTGCTGCGCCTATCATAAATGAAACCTGGCCGCCTAGAGACAAGCTTGTCGCCAGGTACCAAGCAATTGATCAAGCTTCTATGAGTAAACAAGCCTAATAATTATGATCATACAAAACAAACAATATGGGCACACGTTCTTGTGATGTCTTTGATTGGGTTCTATAATTTTAATAAATTTGTGTTTATGAATTTGTCTAAATTTAATTTGTAACTGTACAATTTCACCGATAGTAGATATTGTCCTTTTGAAACTTTTCCTTTTGTGCTTCCGATAGTAGATATGGGCAGATGTTCCCTTTCGTCCTTGTTGCTGGCACACGGCTCGGTCGCTAGCACTCATTCCTCTCTCCAATTGACGTGAAATCTCACATAATTTATGCAAGATTCAATATCGTATAACATGAGTTTGAGATATAAGTTTATAATTTGTAGAACACGATATACAATATTGAATAGTATATTTCACAAATTTCCATCAAACTCGTGAAGAGATGTCGATTTAAGCTAGATCAAAAGGAGCCTGAGACGAATATTGTGTTTCCTTTTTGATCTTGGGCAAAATTAACCTATTATATATTTATATTTTACATCTATATTTATTTACGTAGATAAATTCTATTATGATTTTAACTATTACCCGAAATACCGTGAAGAGACCATAGCGGGTGCGAGCACATGAACTGAAACAGGTCTTTAAGTTGGGCTTTGAAACGGGCCTTTAAGCTGGGCTTAGTTGAGTACAGGTCTTTAAGCTGGGCTTTAAAATGGGCCTTTAATCTGGGCTTACTTGGGTACAGGTATTTGAGCTGGGCTTTGAAACAGGCCTTTAAGCTGGGCTTACTTGGGTATGATTTTTTTATTTATTTAAAAAACTATATCTATAGCAAATGTGAATTTTATTATTTATTTTTTAGTAAAACAGTAACAAAAACAAGAAAAAGGACGATATATTTTATTTTATTACCTGGAAAAATACCTTATACTAATCTCATATTTATTATTTTTTCTATAGATCAACTATATGAATTTTAATTTAACCATTTGATTAAAAAAATACTAATGTTTGTAAAAAAAGAATTTCCATCTTTTAATTCTCCAAAAAATATATATATAATACATAAATCCGGATCGGTCACAGAGTCATTTATTTTGTTATTAATTAAAATTTATCGACTAAATTGTTACTTTCATAGACAAAATAGCTTTATAAGTATAATATTTTTTTATCTCAAACTTTTTTTTTTAAAAATACAAAATTACAGGGATTTAAACCTCGAACCAATATATAATACAAAAAACACACAAACTTGTGTTATCTAAACTAGTTAGGTGCACTCGTTTTTTAGCCTTGTAAACTAGGTTTCTCGACTTACTGTTCTTCCATTTCTATTTTCACGAACTACTTTTCTTAGTTTACTATTCTTCTATTTTTATCCTCGTAAAAAAATTTCTTCCATTTTTGTCCTCGTAAACTAGATTTACCGGTTTTCAATTTTGATTGTGATAAGCAATTATCCACTTCCTAAAATGGTAATTTTCAAAATTCAGTCTTTTTAGGTCTGGGAGTTTCGTATTATCAGTCTCAAATCTTATACGCTTATTTTTGTATCTTTACCTCTAAGCGGACCCTTAAAAGGGGGTCTGAGCCCATCTACTAGGAAGTCGAAAACGACGCCGTTTGGGGACATAAAATTCGATTAAAGTTTACAAAAACAATTTAATCAGATGTACGAAGAAGGAGAGAACCAGTTTCAGTTCCAAGTTTCAACTGAAAACTTTTCTCACTTTAGTTGTTTTTATTAGCTACTTTTTCCTTTCATCTTCTTCTTCGTGTTCTTCAATTCCCGGGTTGTCTAGCTGCAAAATTCTCTCTCTTGTATTTCTCCCGCTTTTTTCGATTTCATCCGCATCATATGCAGTCGTAGAAATCGAAAGCAGCTCACAGAGCAAAAATGGAGATTGAATTGGAGCCACGAGTGAAGCCGCTGGACTACAAAGTGAAAGGAGTTTCCAGAGAATCGCCGTCTCAGAAGGCCGCTAATGTTCTTGATTCCGATCTTCGAACTCATTGGTCCACCGCCACCAACACCAAGGAGTGGATTCTCCTCGAGTTAGATGTATGCAATCCCTCTCTCTCTCTCTCTCTCTCTCTCTCTCTCTCTCTCTCTCGCTTAATTGACAGTAATATTGTATCGACATTCGAGGAATTCAATGAACTATTCAGCTTCGTTCTTGTTGTAAAACGAACAATTACGTGATATTAACACACAGCATTCTTGTAACATTTTTTTTAGTTCAAATGTTTGCTGCCACTTAATTAGTATGATATTTAAAGCCAGTTTAATTGTAGAACTACAATTCCTCATCCAATCATCATAAAAGCATTTTCTTCACCAAAACCTTGTTTGCTGCCACTTAATTCTGGAGAGCTTCTCAAAAGAGGCAAGTCCAGCATTAATGCTTTTAGCAGAATCCAGAAGTTCTTTGCAAGGCTCACTCACTTTGTGTTAATGCCACTTCATTTTCTGATAAGAACTGTTTTTATGTTCTCAATAGGGCCTGTTGTTAGTGTGCCCTAATTTTTTTTAAGCATGACGTTTGTTTGTTCATTATTATTATTTTTTAATTAACCTAGACTGGATAGCTTTCTTGAATGTATTACTTTGTGCTTTATCTATGAACTCTGTATCTTATTGAAATTTTATATGTTACCTTATTTATCATTTTTCTGTTCATTTTGCTTATTTTGTATAATTTTGTTAATCAGGAACCATG